GCAGGGTCTCTAACCTACGATATCAAGAAATGTCACACTTCACAACGATGACATGAATCTTTAGTGATTATCGTGCCTCGAATGTGGTCTTGATTTTTGCAAGAGTGCAGATATTTGAAAAAAATCGAACCAATAACACCTGCCCATATTTTTAACTCGATTGGGCCCGAGTTGTGTCTTCACCCTTTTGATTTGCATAGCGCTGTGTGGTTGGGCGCAATTTGATTTCTATAAAATATAAGATCATAGGTGCAAACAAACAAGTATTTAAAATGGTAGAAACGGAAGCCATTTGTGTCTCTATACAAGAAAATGACAATAAAATCTAAACAATAGTTTATGTAAGCCAGTGAAACGAATACAAATTCAAAAAGTGCCAACAGAACAATAACAACACAGTATGAAACGAAATTAACGCCGATGACATGCTTCATACAAAATAGACAATGCTAACAAAAAAGTGCAGTTCAATAAAACAGATATAAATAGACCGCTGCAACAAAGTACACACTTTTATACTGTAATAAATAAAAAAGGCGAAGAAACACAGTGTTTATTGCACATGCCCGTATTCCCATCAGGCGTTTCGTTCAGTCATAAAACCATTCATGCTCGATGGAAAGTTCCTCCAAAAATAAGGATCTTACGAACAGACTACGGAGGTGCACGAGCTAGTTTTCGTGTTTCTGATTGAATATTTTGAATGTTTAGCTGTTAGCTGATACCGGAACATGGAGATCTATTCATGCTTTTTACCTCAGATCTCAGAGGAGGATTAGAGGAATGTGAGTTCCCGATGGCCTCTAGATCTCAATCTCTGGTGTCTTGTGAAACGCTGCGCAACAGAACTCTCTCGTGCGTGACTGCGATCTGCAATACGATATAGTGAGCGCACTCAAAACAAACACAGCCTACGTGGCATATTCTGCTCTTTCTTTCAACATCTAGTCTGCCAAAGTAAGCTTTTCGAGTGCGCTGTTTCAGTTCTAGACTACCTGGTGTGTGCTGTTGCTTTTTTAGGTTCAGTAAGGTTAGTACAGGTAAAACCTTCACAAAGAAGCGCGTGCAGGGAGGGGGTGCATAAACTGGGACAATATCGGTGAAACGTTACGTCTTGGTGATAAAATTGACGTGTCTTCCACGTCTCTTTTGTGAGGCCAATTACGGAGGTTTTCATGATGTGCACGACAGAAGAGTGTTAATAGAGATACCGCGCAAGGAGTTCTGGCATCTTGCCCTGTATTGCTGTTTTCAAGCAAATGTTTAAGGATAAACCTATCTGATAATGATTTGTCTGGCTGGGTAAAAATCATGAGATTAAAAGAAACTTTCTAGTCACAATTAGTCTATAGTTTTTAACCCTATACTGCCCGCTGTTGCATACATACAATAATAAAATCTTAAAGTTAAATCTGGGCTGTTTTAAGTTTCAGTAATAAAAATATAGACGAAAAATGGCTAAACAGCTCATGTTATTCGTATCAAAGAATCATGGTTCGTATTATTCCTTATGCTTCTGGGCCACATGCGGGGCGTCTCCGGTGCTATACGATTTTCAACGTGAACGCATACCATGTAGGAAGTCAGAGAGCCCTTATTGAACAGGTCGTGAAAGGGAAGGAAAGAGCAGTAGGGAAAGGAAAAGCAGGGTTAACGGTGGGCCGCTCGACACTGGCGAAAGGAACGGAAGATTTTGAAAGATGCAGAGAGAGAAGAGAGAGCACACGCACACAAATTCGCTCCATTGACTACTGGGTGAGTGATGTTATTTTCAAGCGCAGCCTTTATCAGAAAAGTTGAACACAGAAAACAGCAGCTGCCGCAAAAAAAAAAAAATCAGGTTTGGGCTAAAATAGTTGACGTGCTGTGGAAACAGGTCACCTGTCACACGCCCCCCGGAGTAACAATGTGAGTACGCAATAGCATGAATTCTAGAAAGAAACGGAAAATGGGGTCCCAAAAGAACTTTGATGGAGCCAGAGAGCGAAAGCTTCGATCATTGTGACCGATTTTGCGCAACAAGTGAAAGAATCAGAGGTTTTTTATCACTTCATAGCCTTGCACTACAGCGCGCCTCGTGGAAGATGCGTTGCCTTGCGACACCGACGGCTGACACTAGGACGTATACCCGTTATTGACTGTAATAAAAGTTTATTCTCTCACTGACACTCGCAGTTATTGACAGTCACGTGACAGCACACTTCGTCGTAGTCTACTGCCCACCGTTGCATACATCCAATAATAAAATCTTAAGATTAGAAACCTGGCAGTTTTAAATTTCAGTCTTAAAAATATCGGCGAAAAATGACTTGACAGCTAATCTTATTCGTATCACAGAAAGATGGTTCGTCTGATTCCACAACTAAAACTACGTTCATCATGACCCGAATGTAATGACTGTAGGTTGACGTACAAGAATGAGAAAATGCAAATAAATCCTGACTGGCTCAACGCTCGTTGCTGGCAATTCATTGTAGTTTTCGCGTGTTGTGGCAGAGGAGCCAATGAATTGCACAACTAAAACTACATCCTTCGTGACCTGAATGTAATGATTGTTCCCTAGATAAATAATCGAGTAAATATACTCCAGTAAAACGAGTTCTTGGTGTAGTGGGGTTCGACATGCTTGAAATTAAAAGTCTGGACGAAAAAGAAAGACCTGATTACATGGACAAGCCTACGCGCTTGTCCTTGTATCCCCGCTTGTGATCAAGTTTTGTTTTTTGTGCATTGGTGCAAATGTTCGCGATATATAGTAAATATTCAAAAATTTTCGGAATTGCGCATATTTCAGAAGCGCACTAGAAAAATTGTCGTAATTTTTTAAAAGAAGCGTGAATAATAGCTCTCGTAACACTGCAGCCCAGGCTGAACAAGGTTGGAACACCCATAAAAAAAAAAGACAGCTACACAAAGCAGGTTCACAGGCCCGTAGCAACTTAAGGGTGTTATAAAACATGGTCACGAAAGTGGGTTGGAAATATAATTCCTTTAAGGAAGACACCACAGCCTCACGGCGAGCACGTGCTCTATATCATCGGCATATTCATTTGCTCTGATGTACGGGTGGAGTGCATTGAAAAGTACGTGTCGTACGAGATTCTATCCCTCATTTGCTGTAGTTTAGTTTCATAACTACAGTGAGATCATATTAAACGTCGAGTACATGTTTTTCGAGCACACTTGCAAGCAGCCTAGGGGTATACAGTTTGGGTATCACACGGAAGCTCAAGTGACGTCTTTTAGATGGTACTAGCGCAAAATTTCATCATAAAATACTTTTCATAGGCCCATGATCGCTAAGGACTCTCGTTAAAGCGATCGCCTTCGAGCCCTCAGTAAGTGCGCTTCAAGTCAACGCCACCTAAACTAACAACGCCTCAAGACTCGATGGTAATGTTTATGTGTACAACCTTTCAGTTTGCCTCGATTTAAAAGGACACTTATTTATTGAACTTTTATATGTCATTCGTGGCATCTTCCGCAGATGCATGAAAGCAACCAACAGCATACCTGCCATATCTGAAGCGTTGCTTATTTTTCTTCGCACATGCAGAGGTTCTTCACAGGACGCACAAGCTCAGTGGTTTTCTTTATGATGTTTCACAAAATTTTACATCTTTCTCCAGCGTCTCCCTTTCAAAGCATGTGAGTTTAGGGATGCCTCGTACGTGCTGCCTGTAGACATGCCGTCGCAGCAGGTCCTTGAAGGTCTGCCTCAGTGCTCGGCTGCGCACTCCATAAATGTAGGCCCTTATGTTCTTCATTTCTAAACGTAAGAACTGGCACCTAGCCACGCCGAAATTGTGACATTTATGTTACACTGCAAACGTTGGCAGTGGGTAAAAAACGTCTGCAGACACTACATGTGCTATATTCTGAATGTCGCTACGATAAATGACCGTTGCGTATGGGAATGCAGGCATGTGAATAGCGCAATAGATAACTTTACGATCTGCACACCGATACTAGGAAGAATAGCAGGCACTACGCGCTCAAGACGGAAAGCGGACCGCGGGAATACTGACGCATCAAAGTCCAGTGAGCACAATATTCTGACGAGTTTTGCCCCTGTTTCTGATATAGAAGACATGGTTTGCCGGGCACGTGTTTATTGCTAGTGCATTCTTGCACAGCATATCGTTTCCGCGTGTACCGACGCAAGCACTCGGCGTTATATCTAATCCGAATCGATTCGCTGTCCGTTGTGCGCTGCGCTCAATACGTTGATTGATTGATATGTGGGATTTAACGTCCCGAAACCACCCTCTATGGCGGGAACGCGTTCGGCGGAGCTCACGCCCGCTTTGGCGAAAGTTTCTCGAGCGACGCTTTGGCTTCGGCTGCGACGTTTGCTACCGTCTGGGGCTGCAAGTTCTAGCATGGCTAGTTAACCGGCTGTATGGATTGCATGGGCGGTGTTTTTTTTTTCCTCTATTCATATTTTAATGGTACGAGGTTGTCGAAAATGAGCTGCACGTCAACCTGTTATGTTGATTAATGGAACATTTTTCTGTGAAAAGTTTCAGTTTACAGATATCAAAGCTTTGCCCGAAAGTTAATTCGATGCTATAAAACGCCTAAAAATATATATGAATGGCAACATCGTTTGCACGACTTGCGCAGATGTAAAGAGATGGCGAAGCACCAGCAGTACGATGTCCCCTCTGATGGGTGGTACACGCAACCCACTGGCAGAAAGGTATCTTGGCATGGACGATTCGGAGGAGACCAATGCCAGTAGTAAGCCATGCAAGGAAAGTAGGAATGGGAAGACAGCGGGCTTGCTGCGAGCACAGATAGCTGAAGTAAATATGCCACTATTGTAGTGTTTACCCGTATGATATTCAGTACATGGACTGCCGACTTCTGCTGACTGCGACGATCTAGCAACATGCAGTTATCGCATAGAATGCAGAGTGAATTTCATGTGCTGACCCTACAATTGAATAATTATTAAGAATGAAAAATTACCTGGTGTTAACAACTGAGGACAGAAAACAGACACAAGCAATAAATTAGTTATGACGGTAACAATCATTCACTAGAATTATTCACTCGTGATTTTTATACATACCAGAGAACATCATGGCCACAGTAAGAAAGGTATGCTTGCTGGGTATGCTAGTCCAACCTCAATTATCTTCTTTTATGCGTTATAATTGTGTATTTAAATGCACAATATATGTGGTATTTACAATTGAAAACTTTGCAAAACACATGTCGGCCTAGGAGCTGATCATGTCAGGATCAAACCACGCTGACCTCGTGTACAGTTTTCAAAGCGTTGAATGCAAAAATAGGCAAGCGGGCGCTCCAGTTCCTTCCGACACGTCTCACTCCGTGCATGAGGCGTACGGTCCTCGCCATCGCCCACACTGACCTCGTGTCTGTAGAGTCGGGCGTCGTCCTAGACGGCGGCGACCTGGACCGCGACATGTCGTCGTCTTCGTCGTCGGTCCGCAGGCACCCACCGGGCGGTCCGCGTTCGTCCTCTTCGCTTAGGCCGTGCTCCAGTATCAGAGGAAACACGGATGCTCGGCTGCTCGGCTTGGTCGCGGGTTCGAGCATCAGCAGGGAGCGTCGGGACGACGGTGCCGAAGAAGGCATCGCCGTGCAGAGCATGGCGGCGCCCGCGCCGCCACCGCTGCCCGCTACTGTCAGGCTGCTGCTGCCCGTCCGCAGGAGCATGCACTTTTCGGAGGCCCTCCGCGGGAGCGCCCGACGCGCATTGGACACGACCACCGAGGTTGATCCCAGGCCATCGGGCGCCGAGAAGCGACGGATGAGCTTTGGTCGACCGGGCGTGCCGCCGTTGGCAGCTGACGCACGCCGGGCAGCCTCGCGGCACACCTGCATCAAGGCGGTGCAATGCAGCTGATCATACCATGATAGAAGATATCAACGTGTATATTCATGTGGGGGACACACTTTCAAAAAGTACACCTAAATAGAGGTTATTCTAAGTTCCCCTTCTCATGTTGACATCGCATACTGTCAGTGCGTGAGCGAGGCTCCCAACGCGAGAAATCTCTCAAAACATTTCCTTCCCAGATCTGGCCGCGAGATCGCGCAGAGTCACCCCCTGGCGGCAACAGGCCGAAGGGGCGAAGTGCAGATTGCTCCCTGCGTCGTCTGCCAGCCACGTCGTGTTTGCACGGAAGAGTAGTTTATTGTGCACATTCGCAAACGGCGGTTTGTTCGAATATGCTAGCGTGAGCTTAACTGCTTGTGCGTATGACTGAAACGAAGTATGAAAATATTTCATCTTGCTCGGATGGTAATGCGCTGCAATGAGATCAGCGATTGCAACTTTCCAAATGGATGTGCATTGTCGTTGTATATCCTTCATTCAGCACAATTATTTCAGTGTGGGTGTCGCTTACTGCTTCAAGCACGTCGTAAAAATGCACTTGGCATCGTTCCAAACATGAGGACTGTTAAATGGTGAGTGAATGCAGCGTTTGGGTACTTTGTTGTAAATAAAGACGAGGCTCCAGGCCACGCACTTGTAGCTTACTATTAAGTGTATAACTACGGCACTGCATATAGTCCATCAACTATGCGATGAGCTTTAGTGATATTAATCTGGCCATGTTACTACTAAAGAGAGGCGATTCCATCAAGTGAAGAGTGACACTTCGCTACTTAAACTCTTCTTAAAAAAGAGTTGGCGAGTGCCATTTTTTAACGTGAAGAAAAATTTACACAGGAACACCTATGTGCTTAGATTCAAATTAAAAAAAAAACTAGACATTCAAAATGGACTCAGACGACGTGCTTCACATTACTGTCGGATAATTTAACGGAAAATGACATTTTTTTTACGTCGTCTTGAGCGTTTCTGCGGCATTTTTATTGAACGACGGAAGGCAGCGGTCATTTTTTTCTTAGAAAAAAGGAAAAAGGAAACATGTCCTTTCCATGAATTGAGCAGACCTTCGTTTTATCTTTGTAATGTGCACGTGATCCTTCGATGAAAGCTTTCGGCGGACTCTCACGAACTTTTGATAGTTGTGCTGGCGCCCGAACATGTGCGTACGTGCTAAACGTCAATGAAACGCAAAATGCTGTCAGCCACGAAGCTTTCCTGGCAAGAATTATCGACTGTTCCACATTTGTTCCACATTTAATGGGGAACGGAATGAGACAGAATATGCGCATGCGTATACGATGCGAACAGTGGTACTGAACTCGTCACAGCGATATTAAGGCCTTCTACGATATTTTCTTCTCTTTCCTTTCCAGAATTCAGAGAAGCAAGATGTTAATAGGTAGTGCAGTCGTGGGAGAGGAGTGAGTAGTAGGCGAAACATAAGAAAAACTCGCGCCAACACAGCACAAGCTTGATTTAGTGCGAAAGCGTGCAGTCAGCCAGCTAGGGCGAGCGTGACTCGCAAGTAATATTAACGTTGCAAGGGCTTCATGCGTCAATTCGCCAGGGGTGAGCGCAAATATTGCCAGTAAACTGCAATCAACGCCTTTCATTAGCCGACAATCGACTCAAAACACAAGCAGCGAAGCGCTGCTGCGTGTGTTTGTATACGAACCAGCCACCACTTATCCACACTTCCACGGGGATAGTGCTGCCACCTATAGCCCGATCTCATCACAAAACTATAGGGTGAGCCGTAGTAAATATGTGCAGGACCAGGCATGCACTCAAATAACTGTTCTTATAAGTGATATTTTATCCAACATCTATTACTGTATAGGTATCACCATTGACATCTTTGTGGCTACCCTCTGATTTCCCACCCGAAACGATGGTCCAGTGGCTAAGGCACTCGGAAACTGGCAGACAGGTCGCGGAATCAGATTCAGACCGCAGTGGTCGCATTTTCGATGCAGGCGAGAATGCTTCAAGATCGTGTGCTTAGATTTATGTGCACGTTAAATAATTGCAGGTGGTCAAAATTTCCACAGCTTTCCTGGACGCCGTCTGTCTTCACACATGGTTGTTTTGGGAAGTTAAAACCAAAAAGTAATATTATGTTTTCCTTTCATTATTCAGCATCGCCCGACAGAACGCACAAGCTCAGTGGTTTCCTTTATGACGTTTCGCAAAATTTAGATCTTTCTCCTGCGTCTCCCTTTCAAACATGTGAGTTTAGGGATGCCTCGCACCTGCTGCCTGTAGACATGTCGTCGCAGCAGGTCCTTGAAGGTCTGCCTCAGTGCTCGGCTGCGCACTCCATAAACGTAGGCATGAGCACATGGGCTCCAGCACAGCAGAGCCGTAGTGGCCGATCCCAGCAGTGGTGGAGTGCGGCGTCCTGTCGAGGCCTCCCACAGAAGGAGCGCGAAATGCGGCGCCGTCAACAGCGCCAGCGAGGCGACCAGCTGCGCCGTCGACAGCAACGCGCTGCGGCCCCGGAATCGGGCCAGGTACCACGGATTGCGCTGGTGCGTCACCGTCGCCTGGGCCCGGAGGGTCACCTGCGCAGCATTCAACGATTTCAACCATTATAGTATGGCGTGTCGATGAACTTGTGAGATCACCTTAGCATACCTATACATAGGAAATTGAGATATAATTTATTGTACAAGCATTACAGAGCCGATTTATTGCTGTACATGCTGTGGCGAATCACCTGACGCTCAACAAGACGCTGAACAGAGAGATTTGCAGTCTAACCAGCGCATCGCGAGATAAAATACACCCATGGCGGCCACATTTTTGATGGAGGCAAAAGTTCTTGAGGCTGTTAAGAAACCAGGTGGTGGAACGTTTCGGAACTTCTCTCTACAGCGCTTCCTAAAACACTACCGTGCCTTCAGGGCGCTCAATGCCGACAACTATTATTATGGTATTATAAATTTACTTTGGTATTTGGGGTGTTTGCGAATAGTTCAAAGAAACAGCGCATCAGGGTTTCTCCTGCAGTAATAAATGCCAGCTTGCTAGTGACTTTAAAAGCCGGTATCAAGGTGAAATTCCTTGAGCGTGGCTGATGTATCTGACCAACTCTGGGATCTTATCTGCAGTGGCTTGAAACCAAGAAGCGTCTAAAGTGGCACTCGAATGACAACGGAAAATGACGTCACGTCGATATCTAACTGCCGTATTCTAGAACATCCCTACATGCAACGCTACCCCTTGACTTGAAAAAGTCGATGCGAGTGCCGTCTCTTGGCAGACCAAGTCACTGCATATCGGCAATAATCTGCATCGATTCTTGAGAAGCGCAGTGTCAATTTAAGTTGAGCAGTGGCGCCGTGCTCAACTTAGTCAAGTGAAGGACAATTGATTGATTGATATGTGGGGTTTAACGTCCCAAAACCACTATATGATTATGAGAGACGCCGTAGTGGAGGGCTCCGGAAATTTAAACCACCTGGGGTTCTTTAACGTGCACCCAAATCCGAGCACACGGGCCTACAACATTTCCGCCGCCATCGGAAATGCAGCCGCCGCTGCCGGGAAAGTGAAGGACAAAATTTGAGTCGAGGAGCATCTGTGAATACGAGAGTAAATCTCCAGTTAAAGAAAAGATCGTCAGGCCTGAGTGGAACACGCGACACGATTACAGCAAAAGCATGAAGAGCGGCCTTTAAGAGCCTTTTGTAAACACTATTTGGGTAAATGCTAGGATCACACTTGCTGGGTACCCACTACGCCATAAATATTCATAATTTCATTATAGTACGCCGGCATTCACTATGCTATCTTTCATCATTCTTCGGAGAAGCGTGGTATCCGCTAAACACTTGCAACATATTTTGTGCCAATGTTGTGTTGCATTCAGTGGCTGACGGCAATGAAGAATTACACCTGAAGTAGGTATGTGCCACAGTCAGTTGCTGATGAGGAACAATCTTTTCTTATGTGTTGAAGCATTGAACGACTCACTGGTTACGCGATAGGCATTGTGTGATGCCTGGTTGTTCCTTTGCTGTTCTAAAACGCTTTATTACTCATACTAACGCGATTCCTCCTCCAACATCATGTTTACGAACGAGTCCCATATTGACAGAACAAAGCTAACCGCCGCACTTATGGACAACCTTTTCCCTAAACCTGTTTATCGAATGCCATATTCGCGTTTGTCTGCTCACGATGTATTATTTTGTGTACGTAGAATGTGAATATCACCTTCAGCGGAAACGTTTCTCTTTAAACTGCACACTTCCATTCTTCCAGTGAAAACGTGGGGCTGAATGAAAAATCAATATATGTGCCTTGGACAGTGAATCATAGACTCTGCAACCAACGTGAGAGGATTTAGCATTGTTTTATTTATTGTCCCGACGCATTTTATTTTTTGAGACATTCTAAAAAGAACAACCAGAAAGAACTTCCAATCACAGCTCATGGTATTAGGTCCCTCCCTTTCAAAAAGAGCCCGACTGATAATACTCCATAAGATCCGTGTATGTTGTTGGGACTGTACTTACTACGGAAAAGTCGCATGATTGTTAGACGCACTGAGCCACCACGGTCAACAAGATCCTTCTTCCGAGAAGCAGCTGCTCAAGTGCGCAGTACTGTTGAAACTTTTGACCCCATTCCGGAATGGCTTCCCCCTCTGGACGCTTTTGTGTGTTTGGCTGATTTCTGATGGAGTATGTTGCGCGTGGTTCAGAATTACTGGTGATGATTTCATGCATTAAATGAAGAAAAGCACCGGCGTAGTTCAGTGGCGGAATTCAAAGCTCGCACGCAGTGGACACGGGTTGAAATCTCCTTATGCACCCACATCTTTTTAGTGTTCTTTATTTGAGCTTTTTTTCTTAATTAGGAAGAACGGGAGGGAGGAAGGAAGGCAGGAAAGAAAGAAGAAAGGAAGGAAGTAAGTAGCATTTTAGTCTGTGGCGAAACTAATTAAAAGGGTACCTGGTTGGCTACCCCACAGAAGTCTGGGTAGGTGGCTGGAGTGCTGTGCTTGACAACATGTGTCGAGCATGCTAGTCTCCACGTTCTAGCATATTTTTTTTTCTTTTAATGCACTGTACCCTGGTCAAAGCATTCAACGGTTTCACAAATACGCCTGTTATATCTAATCTTTCATTCTCACAGCGCTCTTGGTCAGCGCAGTGGTGTCGATCTTTTGAAGTCGTAAAGTGAAGTAAACCACCGCTACTGCTGCGTCCGTCATTAACACCCGCAACGAGTGTCGCCACATATGCGCCCGATTCGATGGGTTCTCAATAGAAGTGCGACTTTGTCAACGCCCTAAACAGCGCAAGGTGGCGCAAGCATCGGCCTAGCTCATAGCATTCATCCATTCAAGCCAACCATATATATCTGCCACGCGCACCTGCCTCACCTAGCTGTTCGTCGCTCACACTCACCTCCAACGAAACTGCGGCCTGCCTACAAGGATGACTTGACACACTTCGCGTTTCCCTCTATAGCCCGATCATGTTGTTGAAAAACACTTTCACATTCTGCTAGATGAGCCGAAGCTCTGCGTCCAATATGCGAAGCTCCTCTGGTTATCACGCCTATTTCTCTGATAAAGCTCGTGCTGGTATCCACGTTAAAGGGTGCTATAACTGTCAAACACCATGTGTCTAACTATGGCGAACCATAACACACTTTCCCATGCCAATTGAAAGCAAACGTTCTATTTCCTCGGTAAGTGCGGCATATAGATACAGAAGTATGTGTAGATGCGCACATTGAATGTTTATTAGCACCAGATAACAGAAACGAAAATGGCACCGCATGTGTATTTGTCCAGTTGGCAAATAGTTATTACGCTCTACCACTTGTTGTGATTTTGCATGCCGTACCACCACCTAATTTTTGTTCGGTCATTGCGTTTAGCCCCTTTCTACTTCTATTTGCATATGGCAAGTTCACAACCTTGTCGGCATTTAAAATGACACAGAGAGGAAGACAAGTTGTTATTACACGTTTATAAAGAAATTCGCGAAGGCGTAGGTCGCAAAGAAAGAGCGAGCTTTCTAATTCTGCTCTTCAAAGGTTGTCCTAATAGTGCGCAAAATACTAATGAGCCTTTAGGAAGCTTGATTACTCAAATATTTTCTAGAAATACAGCGGAAAAGTAAAAGAAACATAGCACTATACAAGAATATATTGTCAGAAAAGTCTCTTTGACGCCAATAAAACATCCAGTGGTGGCCAGGCTTACAAACACTGGATGAATCTTCAGCAACGACCGCTTTGATTTATTGATATGTGGGGTTTAACGTGCCGAAACCAACATAAGATCATAAGAGACGCCGTAGAAGAGGGCTCTGGAAATTTCGACCACCTGGGTTTCTTTAACGTGCGCTCAAATTTGAGCACACGGGCCTACAACATTTCCCCTTCCATCGGAAATGCAGCTGCCGCAGGCGGGATTTGATCCCGCTGCCTGCTTCAGCAATTACCGAAACATTAGGGAACGTACGCTGCACTTAAACGACGAGCAAATGATAAATCTAAGCATGCGTCCAGAAATTCACCTTTTTGAGTTGGTGGGAATAGTTTTGTAACATTGCGTGGGGGTAGTGCTAAGATTATGAATCACCGGGGAATTTGAAGCTGGCTGAAAAACTTTACTATACGGCAAAATAAAAAACATATTTTTTTATACGAGCCATTGAGTAACGTGCGAGATACTCGCGTGTGAAGAGAAGAACGTAAAGTTTAATACCCGACTGTCTTGTGTGTATATTTATGCGTTTATCCTAGGGTGTCCTCCATCAGGTTTTTAATCGACGCATGCATTTCGCAGGCACGTGCAGAGGACACTCCTACGCCAATTTGTTGCTAATGCACGGACGTGAGACAGAATTGACGCTCAAGCACAGTGAAATTGAAAGAAAGTGCGAGTACTGGGGAAATTATGAAGGCAATCGAATAAGAACACAGGAAGTTCAGCCTAAGCTTGAGTCCCGCCCTGTCTGTATGAATCACTACAAGTGGTAGACAGGTCTGCCTAAGCAAGCGCCATTATAGGAAGAACGGCGTCTAACGAGTCATTCCAGAATTATAATAAACAGAACCCAAATCACACTCGTGTGAAGAGAAGATTTCGCAAACGAAGTGCGTATCTAGCAAACAAATTGCACGCTGCTTGTTGAGACAGTAGTACTTTTCCCAGACAGTAGCGATATAACATTTAAAGAAACGAACGTAGGAATTTGGCAATGCGCTGAAACTTTAGGAAATAAAACAACACAGTCGCACTGATTGTGTTAAGTTTTTCCGGACGCAAAATTCTAATTGCATTACGAACCAACCGAATGGGCGAACGTGGACTAGCTTTTTGAATATTGAACGAAACTCCGAAATACCGAACGTTATGGTAATGTAAAAAAATATGTTAATACACTAAAAAAAGGGACGCATAAAAAATAAGTCGTACAACCAATGCAATGAACGTTTAGGTGAAACAAAAAAGAGTTTGGGATAAACTAATTTTTACAGCGACATTCCTTAATCATGTAATTTTTATTGAGCTAGCCGTAACACAATTATTCAA